GAAGATAAACACATCTAAAGATTTGCCATGGAGAGAGTGGAGGCGTAAGGAACCATTGCTTTTGTGTAGAAAACACTGACAGATGAACCAGTAGCCACGTTCCTCCTCATTTCTTGTGTGTGTGTGTGTGTTTGTGTGTGTGTGTGTGTGTGTGTGTGTGTGTGTGTGTAGTTATGTGTGTCCATGTGTCCGTGTGAAAGCCATGGATCATTATGGGATGTCCTCTTCTATTGCTCCTCACCACAGTTTTGAGACAAGGTCTCTCTCTGGACTTGGAGATTGCAGAGTGGTTTGGCTGGCCAGCCAGCGTGCTCCAAGGATTCTCCTGTCTGTCTCCTTGACTCCAGGGTTGGTTACACGTGTGTCATCACACGCAGCTTCTCATGGTGGCTGGGGATCTGAGATCAGGTCCTCAAGCTTGCACAGCAAGGATTTAAGTCACTGAGCCAACTCCCCATTGCCCTCCCCTTCTCCCTTAACCTCCCTTTCCGCTGAGATCCACGGCACCATCATTAAGTCAGAGAATGGGATCCAAGAAAGGAAAACAAACTGAGCATTTGCCATAAGAAATCGCCACCAGTCTGTTTCCAGCCCATTCAGATCAGTGTCCTCATATTAACGACCGTGCCTCTGGAAAACGACCAATCGGCAGCACCAAAGGGACAACACATTTCACCCCGGAACACCCTTCAGTCACCACGGTTCCTAAACCCTATTCAAGCTCAGCAGTTGGCTTTTCAGAGACTCATGTCCCCCAAAAGCATGGTTCTTCTCTAGACCAGTGATTTGGCCTGCGGTTTCAGACATCAAGACGGGGCCTCTTTCTCCAATAAGCAGTTGTTGGGTTGGCAAGATGGCTCAGTGGACGAGGGTGCTGGCTGCCAAGCCCCATGAACTGAGTGTGTTCCCAGGCCCCCATGTGGTAGAAGGACAGAGTGACTCCCACACATTGGCCTTGTGGTTTCAGAGGTATAAAGTCCATCATGGCAGGGAAGGCATGGTGCCAGCCAGGAAAGTATGGAAGCCGGGGCAAGCAGGCTGGCTCTGGACACAGCAACTCAGCTCCACCTGGGTCCCACTGATGAGCTGAAGTGACAGCCATGTAGACCCTCAAGGGAGGCTACGATTGTGAGCCACTGGGCAGGCACTCTGCAGACAGTGTCGGCCAGGCACACCTGTTTTCTGCAGGTGCAATTGCCCACCTGTTTTCTGCAGGTGGAATTGCCCGTGGTATTCTAGGGCCTTCTATTCCATATGCTTTCTCATGCACATATGTGTGTTTTCCCTGGGACCACTGCATGCTTTATGAACTGCATGTTTCTCACCAATACCTTAGGCACATCTTTCCTGTTCAATTGGTAGCTCTCTATAGTGAGGTTTAGCAACCGAGGCAGAGGCCCCTGGATTTAGATGGCATCCTGTAATGAGTCACCTACCATGGGACAGAGTTTTTATTTCCCACCTTCCTAAATTGACTATCTCATTTATTTTTATTGTTTGTTTATTTTTGGTGTTAAAAAATCTAAAGTACTAAATGTTTTGGGCATTTCTTGACCACTGCTTGTCAAAAACCATTGTGAGGCGCCTGTCAAAAACAAGTTATCAGGATAAGTGGGGGCAGCCACACATGACCATGGCACAGAGTGTGTCTCAGTTGCTTTCTATTGCTGTGAAGAGAGACACAATGACCAAAGCAACTTATAAAAGAAGGCATGCTGTTTGGGGGTCACAGCTGCAGAGGGTTAGTCCGTGACCATCATGGCAGGGAGCATGGCAACAGGCAGGGAGGTAAGGTGATGGAGCAGGAGCTGAGAGCTTACATCTGGTCCACAAGCACGAGACAGAGGGGGGAGGGAGGGAGAGAGAGGGGAGAGAGAGAGAGGGGAGAGAGAGAGAGAGAGAGAGAGAGAGAGAGAGAGAGAGAGAGAGAGAGCGCTAACTAGGGATGGGGCGGGCTTTGAAGCCTGCCCTCAGTGACACACCTCCTCCAACAAGGCCACACCTCCTAATCCTTCCTAAACAGTCCACCTGTGAACCAAGTATTCAAACATATGAGCCCATGGGAGCCATTCCCATTCAAGTCACCACATCGTGTGACTACAAATCAAGGGACTGTGAGGATGTCCCAGAACAATTTGTTGGAATGGTGGAGGGGCTCATGGGGCCTGGATGTGGAAAACTTCCTTAAGAAAGGGGTATTTGGGGAAATGGCTCAGTGGATAAAATGCTTGCTGTGCAAGAGCAAGAGCTAGAGTGGGATCCCCAGCACCCATGTCAAAGGCCAGGTGTAGCTAGAGTTTTCCTGCCTTGCCCACAGTCAGGACAAATCTCTGTTACCCACCAGTCCCACAGCCGCTCAGACCCAACCAAGCAAACACAGAGACTTATATTGCTTACAAACTGTATGGCCGTGGCAGGCCTCCTGTTAACTGTTCCTATATCTTAAAGTAACGCATTTCTACAAATCTATATCTTGCCACGCGGCTCGTGGCTTACCAGCATCTTCACATGCTGCTTGTCCTGGCAGTGGCTGGCAGGCAGTGGCTGGCAGCGTCTCCTTCTGCCTTCCTGTTCTTTTATTTCTCCTCTCTGTTAGTCCCGCCTATACTTCCTGCCTAGCCACGACCAATCAGGTTTTATTTATTGACCAATCAGAGCAACTTGACATACAGACCATCCCCCAATACAGTCAAGTGCAGACCATCTCAGACACCTGCACTCAGGCCCATGGTCCTAATCCTCTATGCAAACCTGCTGGGTAACGCCACAAGGAACCCAAGAAGGGCTCCCACAGGACATACATTAACATCCCACAGCAGCCAGGCTGGCACAGCACTCATCCGTAATCCCACATCCTGGGGATGAGCTGACTGGTGACACTGGATAAACTGGCAAGCTCTGGTTCAGTGGGAGATGCTGCCTGAGTAAATACAGGGGCGAGTGATTGAGAAAGACATCTGACACTGGAGGCAGACATTTCTGTCCCACCAGCAACTCCCAAATACCCAGCAGTGTCTTCCCAAATAATTGACTCAGAGGCTTAATATTGTTTATAAATGCCCAGCCGGTAGCTCAGGCTTATTACTAACTAGCTCTTACACTTAAATTAACCCTTAATTCTTGTCTATGTTTAGCCACTTGGCTTGGTATCTTTTCTCAAAATGTCATTCTCATCTTGCTTCCTCTGCATCTGGCTGGCGGCTGTCCTAACTCTGCCCTCCTTCTTCCCAGCATTCTCAGTTTGGCTTTCCCGCCTAGCCTTGCTTCCTGCCCAGCTACTGGCCTGTCAGCTTTTATTAACCAATAAGAGTGATACATATTCATAGTGTAGAAAAAGATTGTTCCACAGCAAGACACCAACCTCCGGACTCTGTGTGTGTGTGTGTGTGTGTGTGTGTGTGTGTGTGTGTGTGTGTGTGTATGTGTGTGTTTGTGTGTGTGTATACACACTTATCACATACACACATGTGAACACACACACACACACTTATGTACACAACAAAAGAAAAAGGCATCATTTTAGTTAATCAAGGCAGTCCCAAGATCTTCTAATCACTATAGTGTCACATCCTCTCGCTAGTATTTAAATTATGAAACTTCAAAAACATGATTTGAAAGCAAACATATTCTGAGTCTGAGTGACACAAAAATTAAAAGCTATCTTTAAAGCCTACTGGTAGAAACCAGACAAAGGAAACTATCCCCACACCACCACATCTGTCCTCCCTGGAGAGAAACAGACCCCTGAGGCAGGGTTCTATCATGTCTCTCAGAGGCCTTTGGCGCACAAAGCTGGGCTTAATCTAGACTGTCTCGGGCGGTGGCCAAGAATCTCTGAGGGTTATGAATTTGGCATTAAACTGGCTCCGGGGTCTGTGGAACTTCCACATTTGATGTCTGCCTTGATGATGTCTTATGAGTTGGAAGAGTTTAGACAACTTGACCTGGTTGTCCTAAGCTGTGAAGGTGCTTTTAAGTACCACCAAGGCACAACCGGAGAATGCTCACTGAAAGAATTAGCTCACCAGCTGCCAATGTAACCTGCGGGCATTAAGACTGAGGTGGCTCGCCCTTCTCAATGAACAAAGGGAAGGCGTGGCAATCGGCAGCTTTGGGCCACAGTCAAGGAAGCTTTCCAGCAGAGTCCTGCCGCAGCCTTGTCCCAGGGAGGCCTGGAGGGAGGAGTCGGGCTAGCCAACCTCAGGAGCCTTTCCTGAAGTGACTTCAGTTTTTGCTCCCGGCACACTCCACAGAGGGGCTTGCCCATTTTAGTGCTGCTGAGAAACGACTACCAGCATGTTCTTCCCTGTGCAAATTCATCTCTGCTCAGGAAGAATACTGACTGGAAGGGGACCCCACTGTATGTACCCTAAGTCACAATTCTCAAGAGCGGCAGCTCCAGCCCCGCCCCTTCCAACCGCGGAGTGGCCATTCTGACTCTGCACTTCAGCATAGGAAACAACATCCTCCTGTCTCTGCATGAATCCAGCCGAGCGCACTGCGTTGGGCATCTTGAACAAGAGCCCTAGGTCTGAGTCACAGCTCTGTGATTCTGCCACCAGCGGAATACATCTCAGCAAACCTATCTGTGCCTCAGTCTCCTCATCCAAAGCGACAAGGATGGGGTCTGGGAGGAAGGCTCAGCCAGGAAAGTATTTGCCATGAGAGAAAGCATAAGGGGCAGGGTTCATCCCCCAGAACCCACATAAGGAGGCCAGGCATGGTGGCACTAGTTTGCACCCCAGTGCCGGGAAGTTAGAGGTGCATGGGTCCCGGGGGCCTCTTTTTTCTCAGCTCCACTCCTGGAAGGTGCCTGGCCTGGTTCCCTGGTTGTGCCTGTGGCTTCGGCTTGGGACTGTGGGAAAGCTCAGATGCTGACTACAGCCATGGGGTGCAGAATTAAAGCCTTCTTCATAGCGGGGTCCGTGGGGACAGTCTTAGCCCGAGCAGTGTCACTGCCTCACTGGTCCCCTGTGGATGACTAGAATGGCAATGCCTACCTCCAGGGCCACAGAGGGGTCTGGGCAAGGCCAGGCCTCACCAGAAGCCTAGGCGAAGGTTGTTGAGGCATCTTGATGTCTCGGGCGCCATCTAGTGCTGGGCAGGGGTAACTGAATCTCCACCATTGCAGCCATGGCTGTACTTCACAGGGCTGCAAAAAGATTGGGAGATGCCGCTGAAATCATACAACCTGGGGCCGCCCTTTCTATGAATTCCATCTAAAGTTCCTGGACCTAGTCTCTGATTAAAGTTCTCTATGGAAGGGCTTCTGGGCACAGTTGGGGCAATTCTAAGTGAGAGGACCCGAGCCTCTGTCAGAGGAATCTTCCTCTTCTTATTTTTAACTTGTTTTACTCTACAGATCCCCAAGAAAAATAGCAACAGAAGATGTAACAGACAGGCCGGGGAGCCCTGGGTTTGCTTGTGTTTGCTAAAGGAATCGCTGCGTGCCAGCTCCCACTTTATCTTTCTCTCTCTTCAGATGCCCACAGTGTTCTCGACACTGTTCTAAGACCCAGGAATAGAAAGGCAGCAGAGAATACACAGGCTCTGCCCCAAGGGGCAGAGCCAGCTAAAAAGGAAAGCTCCAACCGAGGAGGGAAAGGGATGTGTTCAGCCTTTTGATATCACCACCAACAGTCCTTCCAGCCGAGTTACAAAAGAGAAAAAAGAAAAGAAAATTGCCAAATGGGAATTGGTGATGCTTTAAGTCAGCGGCCCTCAACCTCCTAATGCTTCATCCGTTTAATACAGTTCCTCATGTCCTGGTGACCACCCCCACCCCACCATAAAATTATTTTCATCACTACTTCATAGCTTTAATTTTGCTGCTGTTATGAATTGTAATGTAAATATCTGTGTTTTGGGCGGTGGCGGCGCATGCCTTTAATCCTAGCACTCGGGAGGCAGAGGCAGGTGGATCTTTGTGAGTTTGAGGCCAGCCTGGTCTACAGAGAGATATCCAGGAAAGGCGCAAAGCTACACAGAGAAACCCTGTCTCGAAAAACAAAAAAAAAAAAAAACAAAAAAAAAAACCAAAAAACAAACAACAACAAAAAAAAATCTGTGTTTTCCGATGGTCTTAGGCGACCCCTGTGAAAGGGTTGTTCGACCCCCAGGTGAAGAACCACTGCTTTAAGTGAAGTCCATGATGTGTGTGGCCCCATTCTTATCCATCCTCTGCTGCCCAGGGCCACACTTCACAGGCTGCCTCCCACCCCGAGTGCCTGCTGCACAGTACCTGGGATGGCTTGGGAAGCTTTGATTCCGACGCCCAGGCTGCCCGCAGGAAGCAAACCCAGCTCTCTATTGTCCGGGCATTTACATTTCTGAGCTCCCTGTCATGTGACTGCCCCATGGAGGATCTTCAGCTCTCTCACCTGGCTGTGATGTTGGGACTGCTGCCTCCAGTGTCCGGATGTAGAAAGAGTCACAAAGACCACTGCAGATGCTGAGGTGGCACAATCCAGCTTGGGGTCCTGGAGCAAAGAGCATTTGGGTGGTGTCTCCATTCTACATTGTGGTTAGGACGGGGACCAGACACATGGGCTAGGATGGAACTTCCCCCAGGCATTAACAGCCTGCTCATTTTTAGACATGGACCAGAGGGGAGGGAAGAGGGGACACTGAGAGCTAACAGTCACCAAACAGCAGACAATGAGTCTTTCTCCTTACGGGTAATTCTGCTGGGCAGCCGAGGCTGGGGACCTAGACCAGACCACCATGGTATCCAAAGGAGCTGTTAGAGCTTTAATCCTGACCCACTGAATGTGATCGATCCAGGGAGGGGCTGGCTATCTATACCTCCATACCAGAAGCTCTTATCTGAGCTGTTTGCGAAATGCAGCTGCATGCTTGCTGTATAGACACCAGGCATCATTCTTTTTGTAAATCAATTTTCAGGTCACAAAGGAGTTCATCGGCCACATGGCTTGACCTTCACACAGAATGTGAAGAAAAGGGGGGACTGTCCATCTTCACTTCTCATTGAAGAGTTTAGAGGTGTCAGAGGGACCCATGAAGCTAACTGTGTCACAGTCAAAGGCCTGGAGACAGCTGGAATCAGACTCCACATGGAAGCCACAGATGCTGTGGTCACAATCCTTAGCCTTCAGGGCATGGCACGCAGGGAAGGGATGGATGTGTGTGTGTTGGGGGGGGGGGTACTTGAACAACCCTGGAAGGTTGAACAGCCTTGGAAGAACAAGAGATTAGCTGTTGAGATTGTTGTGAACTGAAATTTCCTCAAACGCTCCTTCTGTGTTGGAAGTTCTAAAGACTGGTTTACTCATTAAAACCCGGGGATCGTGGAGAGATGGGGTACTGCAGTTTGAGTCAAAACTGTGGTGAGCTGTTTTTAGTTCCATAGTAGACATTGTCCAGAAACCTCTGCATCTAACCTAGCACCCTTGTAAGAAGTAAATTTTATTTTAAGCGATTTCTTCAACTCTGTGGACCACTAGCTTCCACCAACCCAAAGCTAAGAACATCATCTTGTAATGTCTGAAGTCTAGGCAGAGGTTGCCTATGATGTCCAATGCATTCGGCAAATGCAATCATTTAGGACTTTCTTTTTCCCCTTGTGAATGTAAAAGTTCGTGTAACCTCTTCCTCAAGGGAACGTGCCATTCAAAGCAACCCGATTCTGTGTTCCCACGCTGTCATCACTAGTGTTTGGCTCAGCACAGACCGGCTGTTATCCCCTTGGGAATAAGAAATATATTTGTGTCAACGCAGTTGGGCTTCCTGCCACAGCACAGGTGTTCACCCACAGGTAACCCCTGGTAGGTGGCACAGACTAGCTCGTCTCCCTTTCTATGAAGGGAACCTAAGCAAGCTTTCCAGTACAGCTTGTGAAGGGAGGCACCAGGGTCCCTGATGGATTTTCCTGGTCGTCTTGTCTGGACATTAGCAGCCCTTCTTCTCTGGGTGACCCAGAAGAGACTCCTGCTTACTCTGAACCAACACCTCCTACCAGGCAGGCTATTCCCTCAGCTTTCAGATACCATGTTTCAAAGTGGCAGAGATGATAAAGACTTGCCCCAACTTGAGTCAGCCCCCAGAACTTTCTCCAAGGTCCATTTGTGAGATGCCTTGTCAAATCCAGTTTCATCAGGGACCCAGAAGAAGTCAGATGAGCAATAGCTGACCACACTCTCTGTCTGACCAGGTCACTCACCATTTAGCACCCACCAAAAGGTATCGAAGCACTGAGCTTCAGCAGGAACTCTGTTAGGCTGATCAGTCGGAATGACCATGAACCCCATTGTGGTCACCCATCCCCCACTTCCATTTTTTTGTCTATACCTTCCTCATGCCCACAGTGTCTTTTATTCCGTTTCCACATCTCCCATTACTGAATCCTATTGCGTGTCTCTATTCCCCCAGCAGTGGTTCTAAGTCATATCTACTGGACGAAGGGATTGAAGAGACCGGAAGAACAGAAAGAAGAAGAAGCCGTGGGAACACAGAGCTGAGCTCACTGCCCAGAGCCACCACGCTCACCAGTGCCTCCTCACTGCCAAGTTCTCCCATCCCAAACCCCAGTTCTTCCTGGTCAGGGTTGACAGGAAGGCCACCTGACCTCTCGGTGTGCCACGCTCTCCCTCCCCTCCTTCCCATAGCCTTTGTTCTTCCTCCTCAACTGTCTTCTGTCCCCTCTGCCCACATAGTGCCATGTCTTCTTGGTGGGGGTGACAGTTAATAAATCACCCACATCGTAAAATGCTTCTCCATGCATTCCTTTTCCATCTTTGCCCTATGCATCTGTCTGGGTATACCTGGAGTGTTGTTCCCAAGTCTCCCAGTGGGGGCTGCTCTCTCTCTCTCTCTCTCTCTCTCTCTCTCTCTCTCTCTCTCTCTCTCTCTCTCTCTCTCTCTCTCTCTCTCTCTCTCTCTCCACCGTTACATTTACAGATCCCTCCTCATGGCACCATCCACCAGACGTAGCCACATGGACATTATGTGAGCATCTCAGCTCCACATGGCCAGCCTTGACCTACATTCTCTCTCTCAAACCTGCTTTGGCCCTGTGCTCCCCATCTCAGAAACTGGGATACCATGCCATCCTTGTTGCTAGTCTTCATGGACATGTAATCAGTCATCAAGTCCTAGCACTTCTTCTCCCCAGGCCGTATGGTTTGACTCTGAAGTAGCTCCCACAGGTTCACATGCCTGAACACTCTGCATCCCCAGCCGGTGGTGCTGGCTTAGGAGTTTGTAGAACCCTGGTGCTGTGGAGCCTAGTGTGGAGGTCACTAGGGGCTATCTTCCAAAAGGCATACCTTTTCTGGCTGCAGGCTTCTCACTGATCCCTGGTCTACACCAGGCAATGAGCTCCTACCACCATGAACTCCCCGCCATGACAGACTGAAACTTATCAGAAACCAGGAGCCAAAAATGAGTTCTTCCTCCCATAAGTCACTTTGGCCCCTGTATTTGGTCATGTCGATGAGAGAAGCAACCAACCCAGGCCCTCTGTCCACCTCCACAGTCACTGCTGTAAGCCAGAGGGTCCTGCTCAGGGACGGCTCCCCCTGCAGCCTCCCCTTCCCACAATCCCTTCTCCACACTGGAGCCGAGGATTTCTGATACGCAAATCTGACCATGTTGTTTCCATGCTTAAAATGTTTCAGTCGCTCCTTACTGCCTAGAGTGACGTTCAGATTCTTTATCCTGTATTGTGAGGTCATTCATAGTGGAACGTGGATGAAACAGAATCTACTAGGTGTGTACACTGCTTCGCCCCTGTGAATCGATCGACCTGCTGCCCTCCACACACTTATGAGCATTAGAAAGGAGGTCAGTGGCCCAAGCTCTGTGGCTGCTCAGGGCTGTGAGGAGCCTTGGAAGTGGAATCCAAGAACATCTGACTTAACAGGCTGCTGAAGAATTCAGAAATCGGGCTCCCGGTCCCCCCAAAAAGCAGCGGAACCTGGCCTCCAGCTTTAGCTGCTCAGTAAATGCAAGTGTTGTCGCAATGGGACCATGGCCAAGGAGGCATGCCTACAGGGAGTCATTGCTCTGATAGAGTCCACAGGTACCAAAGACAAAAATCAAAGCCACTGCCTGGGAAGCTTTGATCATTACTTCAGATGTAAGTGAAGGCGCACACATGTGGATTCAAAGTGTTCACATAGTTCTTGTATCTATATACTCACCCTTTAGAAAAATGCAAGTTCCCTTTCTCGGGCACGTGTGCTGACACACATTTTAGCTACACCCTCTCTTCTTAACCTACCAACCCCTATATGTGCTTCGTCAGTAGAGAAACTGAGGCTCAGGGAGATCACGTGACAGGCTCACACCGCGAGCTAGTGGCCAAGGCAGGAAGCAAACGTGGACTGGCCTGGTACTAAACCTGGGCAGGTGACCCCTGAGTGACTACGACTCTTTAGAGAGGAAGCAGGTCGGAGCTGGAGAATGGCTCAGTGGTTAAGGGCACCGGCTGCTCTTCAGAGGACCTGGGTTCGGTTTCCAGCCCACATGGCAGCTCACGACTGTCTGTAACCCCAGTTCCAGGGGTTTCAATGTTCTTTACTGGCCTCTGTGGGTACTGTACACATGGGTTACACAGACACATGTGCAGGCACGCGCGCGCGCGCGCACACACACACACACACACACACACACACACGCACGCATGCACGCACACACTCACAAATCTAATAAAAGAAAGAAAAGAAAGGAAGTAGGTGGCTTAGGCAGGATGCCTTTTGGAGACATCTGTAGCTAAACAACAGAACATGACCAGATGATGAATATGGAGAGCAGCTTTCTTGATTGGCTAATGTCATTTAAGACTATCACAGTGAACTGGAAAGAAGTGATTCTCCTGCTGGCCTTGAAGCAACACCCATCCTGGTTGCAAAGGGCCTCTGGAGAGGGCGCCCTGAGGCGAGGAGCGGTAGCGTGTGCTTTGGAGAGTGCCCTCTGCTGGCAAGAAGCAGTAAAACAGAAACGTCAGTCCCTGCAGTCAACTAGGTCAGTATGGTCAGGATGGAAGAGGCAGAGCTTAGGGGTAATGGTCTTCCCCAGTGAACCCCTGATCACAGTCCGGTGAAACCCCGTCTGCCCATCCTTAGAAAGCGTCAGATGGTAGCTACGTCACTTTAATCTACCAAGCTGTTAAGTTGGTTAGGCACAAAGGAAAATTAACATGGAGTGGTAAACACTGGGCCAGATCTGTGAATCGTGGGCTAATGAACATTTATGTACACTTAAATACATCCCAGAAATCCAAGGGCTATCATTATACCTGTAGGAAAAGGAATTAGAAAACTATTGTCTAGCGTGGCACAATGAGCCTGCCGAATAACATGTAATTAACTGCAGCCGAGTTCATTCTGGGATTCTTTACAAGGCTCCCTACGCATCATTTCCAGCAGACGTGGACACCAGCATTCAGATCGGAACAAGCTGCAACCACATTTTAGTCCTCTAATTTGTTAATAAAATCATCCATTTCGCATCTCAAATGATCGCACTACTGATTTATGACATAATTAGACTGGCCCTGTATTTTAGTGGTAGGAAATGGCCCGTGGCATTTCCTTTAGATTGGTGGTGTGTGCCCTTTGATGGGATGGCTAGTCAGGTGCAGTCATGGAGAAGACTTGGGAAAAACCAAAGTTTTGGTGCTCAGGTCTCTAGAGAAAGGAGGGAATATTTGCCACCCAGACCCACACAGAAAAGCTACCACAGGAGCATGGGGGTAAGAAGAAAGCTTGGCCACAGCCTGCGTTCTGACTTCCCCAGCTAAGGAAGGTAAAGCAAACCGGAAAAGTGTATGGCTGGCTGGTTTGATCACTGTGCTAGCCTTGGACTGAAGGACGGGTTCGCAGCTGCTCTTGGCACTGGGCTGGGTTAGGCAAAGGAATGTTGTCCCCAGGTCATATGGGCAAACAGGGAAGGTGACTGGATGAGCCAGGTGCATAAGGCTGTGCCCGGTGTCATCTTGAAAAACAGGCAAGCCTTGACAGGGACGCTGGCTCCCAGGCAAATGTCAGAGCATCATCACCACGTACAGAAACTTGAAAGATATCTGTCATTCAAAAGAAACACACGGCAAGCTCCCGGTTAGAAGAACAAAGGCGGGCTGGCCCCATTTTAAACACCTTCATCTCACTTCTCACTTTAAAAACCCATACAAATGACGACACTGGAGACACAGGTCAGTGGTGGAGTACTGGCCTGGCATGCACAAGGCCCTAGGTTCAAGCCCCAGTAACACACACACACACACACACACACACACACACACACACACACACGCACACACCTATAAACATAATCAGATGTACATAGCACAAGCCTGAGGTCAGCTTGAGATAAAATTCCTGGCATGGTCTTAACTGTGTGCAGGGGCAAATACACTGTGTCATTTAAAGGTACAAAAACAAATTAAAAGATAATTTTGATTCTTTACAATTCCTTCCTGCCAGTTTTTTCTCTCTCTCTCTCTCTCTCTCTCTCTCTCTCTCCTGCCTCCCTCCCTCCCCTCTCTCCCTTCCTCCCTCCCTTCTTCCCTGTCTTCCTCCCTCCCCCTCCCTCTCTCCAGAAAAACAAAGAAAAGGCAAAGCCCAAGTGCCCTGCTGCTGTGCACACTGCTGTGCCCACTGCTGTGCCCACGGGTCTCCTGAAGAAGTTAGGTCCAAGGTCTGAGTCCCTCTCTAGCCCACCCAGCCTCCCTCGCTGGCTGCTCCCTGAATATTTCCAGCTGCAGACCATCATTCTCTGTTAGTCACAGGTAGGCAGAGACGTGCGTGGGGCACGGAGGCTGCTGTTGTCCGGGGTCTCCCCACCGGAGAGCAGAAGGAATTGAAGGCTAGCAGCCCTGCCTGTAGAGAAAGGCCCCACGTCAGCCAAAGATCCACACTCTGATGTGCTGACCAGCTGAGTTAGGGAAGATCGGATGACTGCTGGACCAGGATAGGCGCCACGTCGGCCCTGCAGCAAGGCGAAGTCACTGTCACTGGTGTGCACTGCAGGCCTACAGTAGTGCCGTCTTCAATGCTTCCTTGAGAGGAACATTCCAGGGTGGCTCCCTCTGCGTAGTCAGGGCTTAAGTCCAGGACCTGTCTTCCCACCCCTGGGCTGTGTGGCTTGTCAGGACTTGTCTAAAAATCTCTGCAAACTGACCAAAATCTATTAATTATTATTATTAATCTATGTATGCACCATCTCTCTATATCTTAAGTATCTATTGTCTATCTACCCTTTACTGTCTGTTATCTATCTGCCATCAGTGTGTCTATCATTATCTGTCACCTGTCTGCCTGTCTTGTTACCATCTATCTTCTTGGCTCCCCGTCGGGGAATCGAACCCCGGCCCCCCGTGTGACAGGCAGGGATACTCACCACTATACAAAAGGCGACCTGACGACACGGGTGTAAAAAAATCTCACAAAGCAACTGTCCACATCCAGATAAATGACATAAATGAGTACACACCTATGTTAAAAAAAAAAAAAGTCCTACAAGGCGGCCATGAGAAAAGAAAACCAACCTAACAACAACCTAAGGGTGGGGGCTTTGGACACAGACTGCTCCCCTCAGTTCAGCCACATCTACAACTATGAGATCCTCACCCCAGACGTGCCGTTCACTCTAGACAAAAACGGTTATACTAAAAACACAAAAAACTAAACTATAACAAAAAACATCAATATAAGCTCACTGTCACGGCCTATAACTGTAAAAAAAGAAAGAACCACACTATCTGTATCATCTATCTAGTCTTCATTCATCTACTATCCACCTATGTGTCTCTGGATCCATCTGTTTTCTGGCCTGTGACATAGACTGTCGGTTTAGAACACAGATCTGGAAGCTGCCAGCCCACAGTGGACATAGAGAGGGGCAAACCCTGCCCCAGGGTTCTCCGATGTGTCTGCAAATGTCTCACCTCTGCGGCAGGCACTCTCTTCATGTTTAAATGAACAAGCACCCCCGCCCCCTAAACAGCAGACACTCCACCGCCTGGGCCCTCACCAGCTCCTGCCTAGTGATGGCATGCAAAGGAAATGCATAATTAGCATTAGTAATTGGAAACATGAGGGAGACACCCAGGCCCTCTCCCAGAAAAGCTATTTCCATTCTGAGCAGCAGGGAAAAAAATGTGTGCAAATTACTTCCCACCTAGCCTATCAGCACCTCATTTCTGATGGGGTATTTATTATTTATTTATTTATTTTTTATTTTTATTTTTTTTTTTTTTGGTTTTTCGAGACAGGGTTTCTCTGTGTAGCTTTGCGCCTTTCCTGGGACTCACTTGGTAGCCCAGGCTGGCCTCGAACTCACAGAGATCCACCTGGCTCTGCCTCCCGAGTGTTGGGATTAAAGGCGTGCGCCACCACCGCCCGGCTAAAGATTTATTTATTTATTTATTATGCATACACTGTTCTGCCCACATATATGCCTACACACCAGAAGAGGGCGCCAGATCTCATTACAGATGGCTGTGAGCCACCATGTGGTTGCTTGGACTTGAACTCAGGACCTCTGGAAGAGCAGCCAGTGCTCTTAACCTCTGAGCCAGCTCTCCAGCCCCTATTATTTATTTTTTTATGCCACACACCGTATCCGGCAGGCCACTGAGTACTACCTGGTGATGACTTTCTTCCATGAAGACGAAGACTTTTTC